GGGCCGGGCTGGCGACGCGCACCACAGGCTTGGTGCGGGGAGCAGGAACAGGCCGGGCCGGGCTGGCGACGCGCACCACAGGCTTGGTGCGGGGAGCAGGAACAGGTCGGGCCGGGCTGGCGACGCGCACCATAGGCTTGGTGCGGGGAGCAGGAACAGGCCGGGCCGGGCTGGCGACGCACACCATAGGCTTGGTGCGTGGAGCAGAAACAGGCCGGGCCGGGCTGGCGACGCACACCATAGGCTTGGTGCGAGGGGCAGGAACAGGCCGGGCTGGCGACGCGCACCACAGGCTTGGTGTGGGGAGCAGGAACAGGCCGGACCGGGCTGGCGACGCGCACCATAGGCTTGGTGCGGGGAGCAGGAACAGGCCGGGCCGGGCTGGCGACGCGCACCACAGGCTTGGTGCGGGGAGCAGGAACAGGTCGGGCCGGGCTGGCGACGCGCACCATAGGCTTGGTGCGGGGAGCAGGAACAGGCCGGGCCGGGCTGGCGACGCACACCATAGGCTTGGTGCGGGGAGCAGAAACAGGCCGGGCCGGGCTGGCGACGCACACCATAGGCTTGGTGCGAGGGGCAGGAACAGGCCGGGCTGGCGACGCGCACCACAGGCTTGGTGTGGGGAGCAGGAACAGGCCGGACCGGGCTGGCGACGCGCACCATTGGCTTGGTGCGAGGGGCAGGAACAGGCCGGGCCGGGCTGGCGACGCGCACCATTGGCTTGGTGCGAGGGGCAGGAACAGGCCGGGCCGGGCTGGCGACGCGCACCATTGGCTTGGTGCGAGGGGCAGGAACAGGCCGGGCCGGGCTGGCGACGTGCACCAAAGGCTTGGTGCGGGGAGCAGGAACAGGCCGGGCCGGCGACGCGCACCATAGGCTTGGTGCGGGGAGCAGGAACAGGCCGGGCCGGGCTGGCGACGCGCACCATAGGCTTGGTGCGGGGAGCAGGAACAGGCCGGGCCGGGCTGGCGACGCGCACCATAGGCTTGGTGCGGTATTGGTGGGATCTTCTGTCATGATCGTCATAATGATTGGACCAAGGCGCAGCGTGATATGCGTACATCTTATTAATAGTGTACTGGCAACACGATACAAAATACAAAACAACCAAACGAAACGTGAAGTCCTCGGTTAACAACACAAACCAACACGGAACATAGAAAAGGAAAACTAGACACTACACAAAGAAACTAACACCCTGGCTCAACATACAAGAGTCCCCAGAGCCAGGGCGTGACAATATTACCTCAATTACCTCGACTAACCGGTGCCCCCACACATTGACTCTGTACCGGTATCCCCTGTATATAGCCTCCCTACTGTTATTTTATTTTACTGATGCTCTTTAATTATTTGCTATTTTTCACTTATCAATTTTTTACTTAACACTTTTTTTTCTAGCATTGTTGGTTAAGGGCTTGTAAGTAAGCATTTCACTGTAATGTCTACACTTGTTGTATTCGGCGCATGTGGCAAATCAAATTTGATTTGATTTGATAATTAAAGAGTATGCATAAAGGTGTTTTTAATAGAATAAATGTGGCAAAAATGAATATAGACATTAACAAATGCATTTCTATAGCTTCCAAAATATTTTTTACAATGGTGTGGAGTGCCAAGATGGTCCGTGCTATCCGGGTTCTTTGGGACATCCCTACCCATTGACATGTAAAATGGTTAGGGTTAGGGTTAGGTAAGGGTTAGGGTAAGGGTAAGGGTAGGGGCATCTTGACCGTGCCAAGATGGAGGCACGGTGGCTTCAACATAGCGCCCCCTATCGGTCATCAAGAGTATATATAAATAATTGGACCCATCCCAAATAGCCTACTGTACCACTTTGGCAAAGGAATTACACTAATAAGTTACTAAAATCCTGTAAAACCTTTGTAAATCCAATATCAACATACTATGTTATATGACTACTATGAGCAGACACATATCAATGTTTTGATAATAATGAAATATTAGTTTTGAAATTGTTAGATTTAACATTGGTCTCTATCATTCCCTCTCTCTCTCTCTCTCTCTCTCTCTCTCTCTCTCTCTCTCTCTCTCTCTCTCTCTCAAGGGCACACGTTGAATGACAGGTGGAGGTGAGAGAAGGAGATCAGACTAATCTAACTGTCAATAAAACTAATGCCAAATGAATGAATATAACACAAAGGAGAAAATTAGGAGTGGAGCAGGCAAACATTCACATAGGCTAATACACACACACACACACCTAAATACACAGTGACCACACACAGACATCACGCTCTATTCATAGACCCTATTCACTTAACTTCAATTCAAGTAGGCTGTTTTAATTCGCTGAGGTATATTACATTGACATAACATGTAGGCCTGCAAATCTCCTGATGAAACATCAAAAGAATGAAATAAGTATATGTTTGATGAAAAGGAAGAATCACTGAGAGATATAAATTAGTTGTGACAAGTTCCAGTCATCCCAGCTAGCACATATGGTTCCTTGGAAGTTGTAGGAACATACGTTGTTGGTTTCACATTGGTTCTGGGAACGAAGCCACAAGTTTGCTGACCCGTAAAACTGAATGTTTTTTTAAATATTCTTAGAATAGAAGTGAAAATGTCGCCTGTTCTGGTTGCAAGGATGTTCTGAGAACGTTTTACTATGGTTCCCTTAAAGTTTTCCTGGGAGTTCTTATTAATGTTCTGAGAATGGAAGTTATAGGTTATTTGAAGAGAACATGTTTCAATAACACTGCTAGCTTAGTTTGGGTTAACTGTTTTGAACACCAAACAGACAGGACACATGGAAATTCATTTGCTTGGGCATTAATCAGGCAAACACATTAATTTTTTTTATTGTGGCACGGCATCAGTGAGATTTGAACCTATAAACTTCTGTTGTCTATTCATGGAATTAGTCCACTGCCACCAGGATGGAGCTAGCATGCCATTTTTTTTGTTACTCATACAAAGTTGTTCATTTTAGTATATTCAAACAGACTCAATTTCAAAGGAAACAAGCACTCATTAAGATCAGGTGTGGCCAATTAATGGGTGCAGCCAACACACCTGATCACACTTAAAGGAAAGGTTGCGCGATATATATTCCACAAATCTAACAATGTAGATTGATTATATTCCATCTGAATGGTCTTAATGCAAAAGTGTATATTTTAAATTATACAATTCTATTTTCGCAATTTTAATTACATTTATGAAAAACTCCTATACCAACAATCCACTGCGGCATTGATGTCAAGAAAGGAACAGCCTGCTGGTGGCTTCGGGGATGGAGGCCAATCGGGTAAGTAGGTACTAAAGTGCCCAAAGAGTTATGTCATGTTATGTTGCTAGTAGGTGATAAAAAAAAACAAAGATAGCCAGCTATCTAAGTGCACCGGGCCATGCAAAATTAACTGGACCACTCAGATCTAGCATAGTGTTTGGGGATGGAATGAGCTAGCTAGCAAGCAAGCTACAACAACTCCATCAACACTGCATGTTTTGCAGAAATGAATGGTCAAAAAACTTAGCGGATTAATGTCATTGTTTATTTCAAGGTATGTCTTTATTTTTGCTAAATTGCTTGATATTTATTGGCCAATATAACTTGAAGGATATTGTGGTAGCCAAACTTGAAGGATATTGTGGTAGCCAATGTTTGTGTTAGCCATTATACCTGGTAATGTTAGTAACGTTAGCATGTGGCTAGCTATAGCCACCATCGGCCAACAACAGAGTTTTAGCCAGTTTGGTTCTAGACGTTCAATGTCTACTATGATGGTAAAGGTTTATCATGATTTGGTGCTGACGAGAAGTGCTGAACTGCCAATAAGTTATGTGTTTAAAGGCTGCTAGTGGTTAGTTAATAGGTGTAAAGGGGACTATGCTAAAAACCTGCGCGCTGTATAAGTGTATTAAACAAATATATAATAATCTGATACATAATACAAAAATCACAGGATATGGTCAGATGATAAATTGGGTTATTCAGAGGCTAAATATTTTTTTCTAAAACAATGTGGACTTGGTATGATGTGTGTCTTTACCGTCTTATGTGGACAGTGACTTCACTCCTGCTGTGTTCACTCTGTGTTCTTCTCTTGACGTCACTTTTCCGAACGCTTTTCCGACATGACTTTGGTCAAATTCGGATAAAATATAAACTTTGCCCCAAAATACAAATGTAAAGTAATATGTGGGATTGGGACTTTTAGTTGGAAGGAGGAAACCAATCAGAATGTTTAACAGCAACCTAATTCTGCAGTCTTCCCTTTAACAAGATGGAGGATAGAGTTTTGTTGATGCTGAGAACGGAATATATATGTTTTTGAATAACATTCTTAGAACGTTCTTAGAACGTTAGTAATGTTTTCTTGTGATTTTTATGGAAAGTTTTCTTAATGTTCTGAGAACATTACTTTAAAATAGAACCACGAGGAAACCTGTAGAAAATGTTATGCTGAAGTACTGAAATTCCCACAGAAGAACATTGTTGTGAACATTACTTTAAATAGAACCGGTGCTTGACTGCTTGACTTAGACTGAAATATGTGCCAGTACTCATTTTGGGTGCTGGTACTGTTTATATCTAGATGCAGGAGCTCCACAATACTTTGGAGCTAATATTCTATAAGGAACAAGAGCTCAAGCAGTAGAACATTTGAGGTGCCGGTACTCAGCTCCAGTGAGCTCCTGCCTAAGTCAAGCACTGAATTGAACCATGAGGAAACCTGTAGGAAACATTATGCGGAAGTACTGAAATTCCCACCTAAGAAAAATATGGTTCTCAGAACGTTATGTGCTAGCTGGGTATCCTGCGGCGCTCCCAGAAAGTTGTGGGAAGGTTGTATGCAAAATAACCATAGGACAACCACTCTCACCAAGCTCTAAGAAACATGGTTCTCAGAACGTTATGTGCTAGCTGGTGTGGCTCCTTCAAGTTTAGTTTATGCGTCAACTTTGGTGAATCACCAGGAGGATAACGAAATAAAGGAAGAGAGAGATGGGAGGAGGAAAGGAGGGGGGCAAAAAACTTTCTCCCTCCTTACAAAAACCCTCCGCCGTCAGTCTGTCACACAAACCATATGCCCGTCAAGTCTACGGACCGTCAACGTCAGCCAGGCGGATTTGATGCGCACACCTCGGCTTGGATAGACAGGGACCCACCGATGGAATTCGGTTTTATCGATATTTCTTTATCAACTAACACATTTTTCATTAGAGAAAGTCTGAGTTCCATGGACGTAGGATTCAGAAATGAATTTTTTTCAAGATAATATATTTTAAATTGGACTAATCCAGAAGAAATTAAAGTTGAATAGGTTAAACTAACAAAAGAGGATACGAATTCATCATTACGCATTTTGGCAAGTTGTCTTTGGATAAAGCCTTGCTGATTTAATCATTGTGCACTGAAAGGAAATAAAGTAATTTGCCAAAATAAAAAATGCATTTTGGAGGTAAGTCCCAGTAAAAATGATCAAAGCTTAATATCTCCCACAATAACAGGCTTATAAATGTGTGTTTATTTATTATAATGATGATTCATATGATTAAGATAATAACGATTGTTACTATGAACCGATAGCTTTTACAAATGAAAATGTTACAAAACACACTTGTGGTATTTCTGTTATTTGATACTTTTGAGATTATCCACAGTAGGAGTTCCCAGTTCGTTGTATATTTTGCATAATAATATGATGATGACCAAGGTGAATTTGCATTTAGTTTTCTCTACCACTTTTCTCAAATTTCAAAGTAAATTTCAATGGATATATGAATCCTGAATATTTTCAGATAATAGCAGAAATCCCTCCCCAATTGTAATAACATAAAAAGATAACAAATACATAAAACACATTTATCTGAGAATACAGAAGAAACAGAGCAGTTGAACTTTTGTCTGCAGATATAATATATATTGATACTCAAAATATGAACAAATACTGAGATCAAATGTTATAACAAAAATCGCTTTGAGAACTTCCCTGTTATATTAAAGGGATTTGCAGTGTAGGACATTGAGGAGGCAATTTGATCTGAATGTAAGTTTTCACAAGCTTAGAAATGACAAATGTTTTTTAAATTACCACTAGTGTGTGTGTGAAAGGGAAGTTTCCTTCATTGTAAAAAATGGCTTTGGTTGAGAGGTGCAAGAGGTAGCTAAAGCCCTTGTCTAGTTAGCTGTCACTGATATGAGAATGTACATGATTCACGTTAGTCAGGGTGTGAGAACACACACACACCTACCCCTTGGGACAGCCTATGTGGCTGCTGTTCCATGTCTGTGAATTGGGGTTAAAAGAGGGAGGTTAAACATTGTGTGACGAAATGATGCTATAAGCCTTAAAACAAAAGAATAATAGGATGAAGATTTCCTCTCTCTCCTCTACTCTCCCCTCTCATCTCTCTCTCCCCCCTCTCCCCCCCCTCCCAAAGAGCGCCATCGAATAGAGAGAGAGCCACTCTACTCTAAAAAAAAACTCATAAAAAAAAGCAAAAAATAGCAGAACTCCGCCCGACGAACCCGCCCCCCTCTCCCCCACCCACCACTCACCCTAAACCCGCTCTCTCTCCTCCCACCGGGTCCCCCCGAGTCCTCCCCCACTTCCCCCCTCTCTCCCTCTCTCTCACTCTCCCCCCTCATCCTCTCTCAACCGTCTACCAACCCCACCCCCCCCTCCTCCCCTCTCTCAGAGAAAAAGAGAGGGAGAAAAAACCGCCCCCCCCCCACCCCCTCCCTCTCTCTCCCCCCTCTCTCCCGGCCCCTCCCCAACTTTCCCCCCACCCCTCTCCCCCGCCCCCTGCCGTCTCTCCCCCTCTCTCTCTCCCTGCCTCTCTTTCCTCCCACTATCTTTGTTCCTCCTCTCTCCCACACGTTCAGGTGGTCTTCAATAAAGTAATAAGGTTAAAACAACAACCCCCCTCCCATACAAATTATACAATATCAGTTCTATAACTAAAGCACTTGAAATGACCTCAAGTTGTCCCAGATCTGAGCAAACAAAGAATATAGACCACAAGTTCAAACAGACAGACCATATTGCCTTTGACCTCTGTCTGTCTGTCTCTGTGTGTGTGTGTGTGTGTTTTTCTCTCTGACACATGTTATGGCTGTGAAGGCTGAATTAGTGTCGGTGTGTTTTAGATAAGTGTTTGTGTCCATGCGGAAACCAGAGCACATCCACTCTGTTCAAGGGTTCAAACCCACGCCTGGATCTAGAGCAGAGAGACAATACAGGAGAAAGTAAAGAAAAAGCGATTGACCACATCACATCCTTTGCTCAGCCCCATCCTTGACTCTTTGTGTGTGAGAGGGAGAGACAGACAGGGGTAGAAAGAGTGAGAGAAAGAGATTGAGAAAGTGGTGGTGCCGGATTAATGCAATACATATTCCCTATTGACAGGAGTTAGTAAGAGGGGGAATGATAAAAAATTAGTTGGTCACGCTTTGAACAGTTACACATGCTGTTTACATTTTTCCCAAATTAACATGGCCCCTCGCTTCATCTCTCTCTCTCTCTCTCTCTCTCTCTCTCTCACTCTCTCTCTCTCATCCAAGTCCTTTACTCCATCTCCTCCTCTCTGTGTTTCTCTCTACCTCCCTCTCTTTATGTCTGTCTCTCTCACTTTCTCCCCCTTTCTCTCCCTCTCTCCTTCTCAATTTGTTTTCTAAAGCAGAGACAGACCGGATAAATTGAATGGAAGGCTCTGGTTTTTTTTGTTGTTGCATATTTATTTTTTAAGTGTAACCCAGGGGTTTGGATGGGGAGTTAGGCAGAGCAGGGGGAGGTAAATTAGAAACCTACATCTGAATGTCTGAAAAAAGGAAGGAAGAATGGAAAGAGGTAGATGGAGGGGATGAGGTGAGCTAATTAGAGAAAGGAAGAGAGACCAAAAAGTGAACATTGAATGAGAGAAAGAAAGAGACATGGAGAAAGCTAATATTGATCATTAGCGGTGGATGGAAAACTGAAAACAAAGTGTGTAATAAAATCAACAGAAAGTAAAAAATAATTAAAGACAGATTTCTCTGGTAAGGAAAGGGAATAAACAAATGGGGAGAGGAAGATAATTAAATCATAGAGAGAGGAATACAATATTAAAAAGAGAACGTAGAGTTTGTTGGAATAGCACAGAGGGTTTCGTTGTAATCATAAAGTGGTATTGTATGTTTTTATGCCTCTCTATTTCCCCTTTGGTTTTCTGTCATTGATGTTCTTTGGCAATCCAGGCTCCATTCCATGCCAAGTAGATCAATTTGAATTTCAATATGAACTCCAAGAAGATATCTCCAGGGATAAGAGATGGGGAGAGAGAGTGTGTGTGTGTGTGTACATATGCCCAAGCACATGTATGTGTGTTTCAAAAGATTGGTGCGATGGTTCTTGTGTGTGTGTGCGTGTGTGTGTGTGTTGAGTCAGTGAAGGAATGCACGTTTGATTGAGTACAGACTGCACATAAATCTGTGCTCTAACTGTACACAGGCACACAACATCGACCCTGACCCTGGCTCCCCTACCCCTCCCTCCCTGCGGCCTATATGCATGTTACTGTCCAGCCAGCCAGGGTACAAGTGTGTGCATGCGCACCCGTGTGGGTGTGAGTGTGTGTGTGTATGCACAAAGCCGCCTTACTTTATGGTGAAATAAAATGATCTGGATTTCAGGATGGATAGAATAGAATGTAGAATATAGAATATAGCACCGCTTCCAATCCAAGTGCTAATGCCGTTTAGCAAACTCCGAGCAGGGTTATGGTCAGATGACATGAAAATAGAGCTCTTTGGCCAAGCACACCAGTGGTGTTGAAAAACAGAAGCATATGAAGAATAGTAGCTCATACCTTCCTTAAAATATGGTACTGGATGTTTGAGGTTACGGGACTATTTTGCTTCCACTGGTCCTGGGGCCCTTGTTAATAAGGTCAACGTCATCATCAACTTTACCAAGTACCAGGACAAAACCTGGCTGCCTCTGCCAGGAGGTGGAAACTTGGACGCAAGTGGATCTTCCAGCAAGACAATAACCCCAAACACACATCAAAATACACAAATAAATGGTTAATTGACCACAAAATCAACATTTTGCAATGGCCATCTCAGTCTCCGGACTTGTACCCCATTGAAAACCTGTGGTTTGAATTTAAGAGGGCAGTCCATAAGCGCAGACGAGGAATATCAAGGATCTGAAAAGATTCTGTATGGAGGAATGGTCTAAGATCCCTCCCAATGTGTTCTCCAACTCATAAAACGTTTTAGAAAAAGCCTCATTGTCATTATCCTCACAAGGGGAGGCTGCTGGAGTATTGAAAACCGGGCTGCCAATCATTTCGAACCTTATCTTTTTTAGATTTGTTTTATTACTTCTCTGAGCAATTGTATAAAATAAAAATCCCACTTAGCATACAACATAGCACAGTATTTATATCATTTATTTTATGCAGTCTTTTTTGCTTATCTTTATCAAGGGTGAAAATAATTGTGGACCTGACTGTAGCTGATAGCAAGTCTTCTGTAGTCTGTAGGATCTGTAACCCAGCCCTGAGACCAGCCCGTGCCCTGACATTAAACTTTGAACCCTAACCCCAATGTTCAATCCCGACCGACCCCAGACTCCTTAACCCTTAACCTCAAATCAAGCCCCATATATTTTATCCTATAGCTGGCATCCATAAGATTGTGCAAAGTTTTACATCTGCAATCAAACCATAGATTAAGATAAATAATCGAACATGGTTTAGAGAATGGAGAACTGTGTGTATAGGCACACACACACACACACACACACACACACACACACACACACACACACACACACACACACACACACACACACACACACACACACACAGACACACACACACACACACACACACACACACACACACAGACAGGTCATGGAACCTCGGTTGTTGTAATATGATCATGCCTGTGAGAATGTTCTGGCTTCAACCTGGCCTGTGGAGTTGGTTGTTAGTGCCAGGTACTGCTCCCCGCTCCCTGCACAGAAGACTGAGGGCTTGGGCTTTACGTTATCATAACCTTTACCATCCATAGTAAAACTGTCTCATTCTACAGAAGACGCTTGTGCATCAAAACGGCATTCTGCCAGACTGCCTTGTGTTTTGCATTAAAACACATGCAATGTGAAGTGTTCCGGCTGTGTGTTAGGAAGTTACCTAGATTAGTTATTTTCTGTAGAAACGGTATCCTCAGTTGTTTGACCTATTTCCCTACAGTATTCCTCTATGTTCCAAGGGAGAGTTGTTGAGCTGTTGCGATTCGTTCTAAATATTAAGGTGTGTCAGGTGTTGAGGTTTTGTGATTGAAAGGAGTTGACATGTTTTGCTGTAACTGTTAAACTGATTCAGATGAAAGGTGTTGAGGTGTGTTAAGGAGTAATATGTTGAAATTAATGACGTTAAGAAATGTGTTCTATAGTGGAAAAAAGTGTTGACTGTTTTAAGTCCTGACATGTTTTGTTAGTTCTGAGCAGAACAAGGTGTCCGCATAATTGTTTGTGAGTTGTTCAAAAGCTCCACTTAAGTATTTCACTGCCCGGGGGCAAACTGATGGAGGGAAGAATGAGGGAGTGATAGAATGAGAGAGAGCACTAATCGGGGTTAATAAGCTGCTGACATTTTGGCCTGGGGCAAAAACCAGAATACTTCTAAAGAGGAGAAGAAAGAGAGGGGGTAAAGGAGTAGAGAAGAGGAGAAATGGAGAAAACAATCAAGGACCTGAAGACTTTCTACAAATAGATGGAGGGACAGAGAGGAAATGAGAAACAGAGGGAGATTGCAGGATTAAGAAAGACATGCGAGAATAAGTGGAAGACGGTTTGAAAGAGAGATAGAAGGAGATCGAGATGGATTGGATAGACAGAGCGAGAAGGGGGATGGATGGATGGGGGAACAAAGAGATGGTCACACCCTGTACAGAACATAATGCACACCTGTTGAACAGCAGCATGTTTAAGATTCATAATTACACAGACCCATGCCCTGCTGTCTGTCTGTCTGCCTGTCAGCCTGGAAGACAGAGCGAGACAGGGACCATGAAGAATACATGCATGGTGGAGGAAGGGAAAAGAGACAATATAGGGAGGATGAAAAGGTTCTTGGAAAGCAAAGGGCAAAAGTGAATAAGCGAGAGAGAACAGATGTGTGTGGCAACAAGATGGAGAGAGGGGGGGGGGGGGGGGGGGAGAGATTAAAGGATGCATAAAAGGAGAGCGTTTGGGAGGTTATGACAGCTGAGTCCTGGGGGACAGACAGACAGGGGAAGAGTTCTCTGTGTGTTCTGTGTCTCTCAGTGGGCCTAAGGGACAGGGAAGTGGACAGGCACTGAGCTCTCTACCATTGACATAGATCATTTGGCCACAATTTTCCCTGTGTGAAGCTGGAAGAGAGGGCCTTAAAAGGGTCCGCACATTAGCCCCCCTTGGTCACCTCCAACTACGCACACACGCGCATAACGTATGCATGCACTCATGTAAACAGGCACACATGTTTAACCTTAAACACACACATGCACACCACTAATGCATAGCATTTCAAATACAAACAACAAAATCATGCACATATACGTATGCAAATCTACAAGCACTCACATACCAACATAAACACTTATACAACATCAACGTAAACACAAGCAAATTAAGGCAAATAAGAGACAAAGGCATGCATTCCAAACAAATGCACACAAATAAACATACGTACTGGACACACAATGTTGATGATAATAAAGTAAGCCAGATACTTTTATATCTCTGCTGTGTGTGTGTGTGTGTGTGTGTGTGTGTGTGTGTGTGTGTGTGTGTGTGAGTGTGCGCGCGCCTGCCTGCGTGCCATGCATGCTTGTGTGTGTGTGCATGTGAGTGTTAGTGTGTGTAAGGAGTAGATTGAACAGTGAGACCATTCGTCTGACTGTTTGATGCTTTGAGTGAAGTTTTATTTGATACCAAAGAAAACATTTGACAGCCAGAACCTCTAAAATTTGATTGAAACTGAAAAGTATTATTGGCAGTTAGATTACTTAGATTTGCCAATATATTCAGACAAGACCATCACCATAGAGACAAATAAACAGCCTTGTGTGGTTTGAATCTTCAACAAATACTGATCTCCTTTGATTGTATTCTTCCCCAGTCCATCACATCCAGCTCACACTGCTATTGGCTGCAGCCGTAGCATCGGTCCAGGTCCCAGAGCCCTCCCTCAGCCTGTCCAATGAGAGGACTTCGATTGAGAGGACGTATGAGCTGACCAAGTACCTGGAGCATCAGCTGAGAGAGATAAAGGACACCTATGTGAGTACTGTACTGTTATATAGATACTGTGTTGACGCACATTTATGTTGGAGCATGTCAATGTTTATTTCCAAAAGTGTTTGAATTCACCACATATTTGAGAAGCCTGGTTCCAGTCTGTTTCTGCTCCAGCCAACCCCTTGGTCTTTGCTATGGGGAGTTTGCTAACACAGAAACCGACTGGCACCCAGGCTTGTGTCTGAGCATAACCAATCCATGTCTGATTGCACATGTTGGATTAAATATTCCTTCTCTTCCTCCATCTCCTCCCTCTGTTCCCCATCCTATCCCCTCTTCCCTCCCTCAGCTATCCTACCTGGGCCCTCCGTTCAGTGATCCAGACTTCTCCCCTCCACGGCCCAACAGCACGACACTATCCCTGCCCAGCGCGGCCACCCGTCTGGAGCTGTGGCGGGGCCTGGAGAACCGTGCCAGGCTGGCCCAGAACCAGAGGGCCTACTCTGTCCTGCTGGGGGCGGTGAGGGAGCTGGCCCGCTCCACCCTCTGCCCCTACCTCCAGAGCTCCCTGCTGCACTTCTCTACAGGCCTGGACAGTCTGCTGGGGTCTATATCAAGCCTCATGAACACTCAGGGGTATGCCCTGCCTCCTGCTGGGATCGAGGCACAGTACCTGCAGAGAGACACAGGGGGTGACAGAGAGGCGATGGGACGTAGGCCATCTCCACTGATGAGTCAGGGTCTCTATAAGGCAGGGGCGGAGGCGGGGCCAAAGAGGCTTCCTCTTGGTGATCAGATGGGTGCTGGGACCACCAGAGGGGCGGTGAGAGGACAAAAGGAGGAGAGCACCAGGAGAGAAATGACAGAGAGAGAGAGGGGGAGAGCGGGTAGGAGAGCGGAGGTGACTGGGGCTGTGGTTAGGAGCGTGGGATCGAGGCAGGAGGAGAGAGGGGAGCGAGGGAGGAAAGGGAGGAGAAGAGAGGCAGAAGATCGGGAGGGGGCTAGTGAAGACAGGGAAGAGTTGGAGAGAAGGGGAGGGAGGGACAGATGGGGGAGGAGGCTGCTGAGTGTTTCAGAGGAAGGAGAGAGAACAGTGAAGCAGGGTCCACTGGACTCTGACACCAGAGTCACTCTGTCCTTTTCAGACAGACAGACCTTCCCCCAACAACAACAACTCCTAAACAACAATAACAACAACAACTACGATCACAACAACCTCTACAGCTACAACTTCAACTACCACCCCCAAAATAAGGACAGAGCCAGAGAGGGGGATACAGAAAACAGGGCGACAGAGGAGGAACAATACATAATCCGAGAGTCTGCATCCCTCCTCTCCTCCTCTCCATCCTTCCATCCCCAGCGTCGATCCCCTCGCTCCTTATTCTCCCCCCCCCTCTCGCCCCTCTCCCTCTTCTACCCGTTTGGCACGGGGCCGGGGGAGGGACACACCCTGTTGTCAGAACCAGTTCCACTGTCATTGAGGAGGGGTCCCCCCTTGCTGCCGCCCCCTCCTCTGCCCCCCATTCTGTCCTCCTCCCCTCTGCTGGCGGTGCGGCCGGCGCTCAACGACTTCTCCAGGAAGGTGGAGGGCTTCTGGGTACTGAGGGAACTGCAGAGCTGGCTGTGGCGCTCCGCCAAGGACTTCAACCGCCTCAAGAAGAGACTCCGAGTCTGACAGACAGAGAGGAGGGAGGGAGGACACACTCTCGCTCTCTCTCTCTCTCTCTCAAACACACACACAGTCTGAGAAACTGAGAGAACACACACAAACAGAGACATACCCACACATAGAACCTGAGAACCGGCACAAACACAGACACACACACACATTTTCACACAGACAGTGTTGGAATACCTACCTAGTGCTGAACCATGGAAAAGGGGCTTTCTGGCCTGCCATCAGCCTGAGCACACAATGGCACATCCGGGGATGGAAAAGGACCAATTGTCTCAGTCTGTGGACAATATCAGCACTGTCACCAATGACATGACATAGCAGGTCATTGATCTGCCATTGGAACTTATTTACTGGACGCAACGCCTCACATACTGGACATAAAGGTGGTGATCAAGCAGATAGACAGTCATGTCATTGACTGAGGGCTGATTCAGAACAACAGTGAATCACTAGACATGAATCTTCGCCCAGGGAGGAAGAAATAGTTATGAATGGAGAGAGACAAAGAGAAGAAGAGGGAGAGGAAATGGCAGGATGGAGAGAGGGTAGAAGGAGAGTGAGTGGGAGAAAGGGGGAGTCTGAGTCAGGGGCTGACCGTTGGAGACGGGGCAGTGGAGGTTGCTGAGTAATCAGAAATCTGCAGACACATACAGTAAACCCTGCATAGACACCCACCGGACACACACAGTACAGACCCATTTCCAGGCGTACCAGTAATTTGTGAATTGGCCAACTGTTTTTACAGTGAGTTTTTGACACTTTTAGCTATGGAATGGGCATCTCAGCCTTTCCCTCTGCTTGTTTCAGCCAAATGCAACACAAAAGCCCCTAACCTTGGCATGGTGGGGTTTCTATCAACTGCCTTGTGTCTTTACAGCAGGTCTGGGACCTGTACAGTAATGTCCAACAGTGTGTATGTATAGAGTTTAGGATTAGATTATATCTGTGATATTTATTGAACAATATGTTTTATTTATTTTCTTGTGTGAATAATACTGTCCTACATCATATTGGAGAGTCTCCCGAGTGGCGCAGTGGTCTAAGGCACTGCATCGCAGTGCTAGCTGTGCCACTAGAGATCCTGGTTCGAGTCCAGGCTCTGTCCCATGGGGCGGCGCACAATTCGTCCAGGGTAGGGGAGGGAATGGCCGGCAAGGATGTAGCTAAGTTGGTAGAGCATGGCGTTTGCAACGCCAGGGTTGTGGGTTCGATTCCCACGGGGGGCCAGTATAAAAAAATAATGTATGCAGTCGCTCTGGATAAGAGCGTCTACTAAAATGAGATGGAAGAGAATCAAATATGAGCTTTTGTACTGAGATGAATGTTATTGGTCGTTTGGGGAGTGAGGTTGTTTTTGAACGTTATGGGTTTGACTGTGTTGGTTTGGGTGAGGGGTACAATTGAAAGATGTGGAAGGGTGTGCATTTCCTAAAACAAAGAGCAACTCACATTCATCAAAAACAAGACGAGTGGAATGAGAGTTTTATTTGTCTGTCTTGACTAAATTTACGATGTCTCTTTTTCTTTCATTTCCCCCCTTCCGCCATCCCTCACTATTCCCTTTCTGCTCTCTATCCTATTATCTCACGCATCTCGCCTTCCCAAAAATATCCCTCTAAGTTTAGGAGCATAAACACACAGGTACAAACACAACCCTTAAACATGTCCACCTTCACCCCCTCTGTCTCTTTCTGTTGCTCTCTCTCTTTCTCTCTCTCACTCACTCTCTCTCTCTCTCTCTCTTCCATTTCCCTCACATTTTCTCACTCTCGTTCTCCCCCCCTCTCTCTCGTTTCTCCTCAGGCTGGAAATTAAGGGATCAATGAAGATCCCACTCTTTTCACCTCAGCTACACACCTGCACTGTGCACAACCGTTTCCCAACCCACTACACACACACACAAACACATAGATACACATACACAGGGCTGGCTCTAGCCTTTTGGGAGAGAAAGATTTACATTTTCAAGTGAATTTCTTGCAATTCTACATGTTTTGCCATGGGTGGAAATAAACGTTTGATATTTCATAAAAAAGTCATGCAATTCTACTCATTATGCCATGGCGCAGATATTTTTTTCTCTCAGCTTTACAGCTAATTTCCTGCAATTCTACCCATTTTGCAATGGCGTATGCCATGTTAATGATATGACTGAGAGATACTAACAAAATCAATGGGGGCCCCCTGGAGGTCACAGCCACACCATCATCCCAGACACCCTGGTCCCACTTCAATTCGCATACCGCTGGAACAGATCAACAGATGACGCTATCTCGATTGCACTCCATATTGCCCTCTCTATTGCACACCCACCTGGACAAGAAGAACACCTATGTGAGAATGCTGTTCATTGACTAAAGCTCAGCGTTCAACACCATAGTGCCCTCCAAGCTAAATTACTAAGCTAAGGACACTGGGACTGAACACCTCCCTCTGCAACTGGATCCTGGACTTCCTGACGGGCCGCCCCCAGGTGGTGAGGGTAGGCAACAACACATCCACCACACTGACCTTCTTCACGGGGGCCCCTCAGGGATGCGTGCTTAGTCCCCTCCTGTACTCCCTGTTCACCCACGAATGCATGGCCGCGCACGACTCCAACACCATCATTAAGTTTGCCGATGACACAACGGTGGTAGGCCTGATCACAGACGACGATGAGACAGCCTATAGGGAGGAGGTCAGAGACCTGGCAGTGTGGTGCCAGGACAACAACCTCTCCCTCAACGTCAGCAAGACAAAGGAGCTGATCGTGGACTACAGGAAACGGAGGGCCAAGCATGCCCCCATTCACATCGACAGGGCTGTAGTGGAGCGGGTCGAGAGCTTCAACATCCTCGGTGTCCACAACACTAAGGATCTAACATGGTCCAAACACATCAACACAGTCATGAAGAGGACACCACAATGCCTCTTCCACCTCAGGAGGCTGATAAGATTTGGTGTGGGCCCTCAGATCCTCAAAAAGTTATACAGCTGCACCATTGAGAGCATCTTGACTGGATGCATCACTGCTTGGTATGGCAACTGCTTGGCATCACCGCAAGGTGCTACAGAGGATAGTGCATACATCACTGGGGCCAAACTCCCTGCCGTCCAGGACCTCTATTCCAAGCGGTGTCAGAGGAAGGCCCTAAAAATTGTCAAAGACTCCAGCCACCCAAGTCATAGACTGTTCGCTCTGCTACCGCATGGCAAGCGGTACCGATGCACCAAGTCTGGAACCAACAGGACCCTGGACAGCTTCTACCGCCAAGCCATAAAACTGCTAAATAGTTAGTCCGGGTAGCTATTGGTTAACTATTTAACTATCTGCATTGACCCTTTTTGCACTAACTTTTTTTGACTAATCACATACGCTGCTGCTACTGTTTATTATCTGTCACTTTATTCCTAGTTATATGTACATATCTACCTCAATTACCTCGTAAACCTGCACATCGACTCGGTACTGTTACCCCGTGTATATAGCCACGTTATCGTTAGTTATTTTGTATCTATTATTAGTTTTATTATTATGTGTTATTACTTTTCTATTATTTCTCTATTTTCTTTCTCTCTGCATTGTTGGGAATGGCCCGTAAGTAAGCATTTCACTTTTAGTCTACAATTGTTGTTTACGAAGCATGTGACAAATACATTTGTATTTGACACACACACACATTCACTGACTCCCAACCCAAACAGAGAGAGACAGAGGGAAAGGGAGCGGTAATGGTTAAGTAGGAAGTGGTTTGTTGTCAATGCTGACACATGATCATACACGCTCTGACTCAGTAACTATGAGGGAAAGTGGGGGAAAGGGTTAACTCTGAGAGAGCACACACACACACACAGCGGTGTGTTTTTTACATTTGGTAAGAGACATTAAAGGGGCCGCCACCAGCGGTCAACAAAGACCACTTTGTGCCAGTGTGTGTTTGTGCATGTGTTTGACCCTGTGTGGGCTGTGTGCGCCCCACGTGTGTGAATCATTCTAGCGGGTATGAACGAGGCTCCCCCTTCACAACTATGCCATTTCTACTCTCACGCTCTCTCCCACAACACACACTCACACAGTCTCAACATTTCTCTCTGTATACCTCTGTATGGATGAGTAGATTGATGATGTAACTGGTGAGTGTTTCCCAATGGTTAGTCTGACCAGTGGCATTTGGTTGTTATTTATGTATAATGTTCCATTCTCTAAGGCTCCCTGTAGCGGTCTGTATTATGTTCCATTCCCTCAGGCTCCCTGTAGCAGTCTGTATTATGTTCCATTCCCTCAGGCTCCCTGTAGCGGTCTGGGAAAGCCCTGTCCAGATGAGTGGCAGTCTGTGACCTAATAGAAGAGTTATGGCCTACAGAGGAGTTGACATGTAAGTCCTCTTGTTAAGAACTTTTATTTGCTCTGTGAGGCAACGATCTCTCTCTCTGTTTTTCTCTCTCCATACACACAGATGCTCGTTCCTAAGTACAAATCTGACCCCCCCCCCCCACCCCCCCCTCTCTCTCTCTGTGTCTGTCAGTCTCTCGCTCTCTCTCTGTCACTCTTTCAATCTCTTCCCCATATGACCCTTTGAATCCCTTTCTTTTTCAGTCCATCTATCCGAATGTTAACCAGCCTGTCAGTCATTCTGTCCGTCTGTCCGTCCGACTACATTTTCACCACAGGTTTATCCATGTCTTTCTCTCATTATCATCACCCTTTCACTCGAATTCTCTCCCTCTTTTCATGTCTATCTTCAGTTCTCTTTCTCTTTCCATCTCTCTGTTTTGCTCACCTGCAGCACATAAAAATTCCTATTTTATTTATCCACAGAATTGTTGAGTCACCCAGGGATTTACTGCATTCCTCCTCTCTCTCTGCACAGCTACATAGCATTGACTTGTTTTTATCTCCCCTCTCTCTCTCTCGCGCTCTCATCCTGTCTTTACATACATTTATTCTCTCACACTCTTGAATCCACCTCCCACCTCCTGTCTCTCTCCTCCACCCCACCTCTCCCTGGCCCATCCCTTCCTTTTACCTCATGGCCCACACCTGCCCCACCCTCTCCCCGCTCTGGGCCATTGCCATGCAATGGAACGTTCTGCCTCCACTAACTTAGCTGGAGGGTGCTGGGTTGGGCTGAACCTCTTAACCGCTAGGCAGGGGTTGCCCGAGGGCTTGGGATGAGCTTGATTTATGAGTTAATCAATTCGTCCTCTGTGTGAGCGTGTAACCACTGAGGTGTGTGTTCTATTATCTGGCTGTTTTGTGTCTGTTGACTCGGCTACCTAGGAAAACACAGCCTGCTGTTGCTATATGTGTTAGACCTTATAAACATGTTTTCAAAAGAGATTAGGAGGGTGGTTTTGGATTCAATTCGTAGGATGTTTGGCGTGTGTGCGAGAACAGAACCAGATGAGAGGGCTGTTTGATGATCATCTAATAAGTCTGACATGAATGTTGGCAGCCCATCAGATGAATACAAGACAAAGCAGGAGACAGATACAGCAAGAAATAGAATAGCTTTGTATTTTTGGGCCAACCTATTGTCAGGTAAATACAACATGACGGAATCTGACTTGGACTCCAGATTTGTTTAGTTTTGTTTACGAGTAATTATTTTCAAAAGTGCTCTCATAAAGTGTTATGATTCACATTCTGTCAGAGAGCGTTTGTTCTGTGGCCTTAAAAGGAGTTCTGGTAGTAGGGGAAGTTAATGGAGCATTTAGCATGTTGGCGCATCACGGTCAATGGTCCATGTTGACGTGTAACGGTTTGTTAAAGTATTTATGGCTGGTTAGGAGCAGCTGGAATTATGTTGGATCGAACGGCGCAGGTAGAAAATCAACAAATAATACCCTACCATAAAATCGATTTAGTCCTACCACAGGCCAACAGCCTGAATGGACAAGACACCACCACTCAACACACCCTGTAACTCTGTGTTGGCAGAGGTATTCGGGTGTACGTGACTTGCCGTCAATCTCAATTTTCTGCGACTTACGTTCCATCCCTGCAGTACAGTTGATAACCATTGCTATAAACAAAACAAAAAATCTAATCATACTGAGGCATTTATCACTTGTTGGCCTATCCCCCTGTACTGGTACTGATCTACTACTCACCACTCCTCTCAGGATCCCTCCCCCTTGATCCATCTTCCGCTACTTTCTTCACTGCCTCAGCATGCACCAACTTCTGCACTACTATAACACTGAACCTCAACCTGGCTCTCTCGCACTGGATATTTCTGATCCCCAGCCCCATGGGCACCCCTAAAATTAACACATACCACTACTTTCCCCAATGCTACACATTCCTTTGTCTCATGCCCTTCTGCACACACCTAGGAACCTCCCTCCTACACTCTGCTGCCACATGCCAATAAGCTTGACACCTGTAACAACGCAAGTTATTAGGCACAATAGCTTGTACAGGATAACATACAGTATATCCTAACGTCACTTTGTCACTGCGTTCCAATATATAGGTCTGTGCCCATATATGGAGTTCCTGCGCTAAGGCTGCGGTTCAATACTGAAGACAAGCCCATATATGGAAGTTCCTGTTGTGGGTTAGGCGTGTCATCTGAAGATTAAGCTCTCCTGCCAAAACTGCTTTATAAACTACATGACCTAGAGAGAGACACATACACATACTGGTCAAGAGCAATCACACAGACATATTCTTTCTTGCTCACACAAAACTATTTCCACGAACCATGAAAGCAAACCAAATATTTTGCCAGTCTAACAGTGGAAAATACATACAGGGCATATCTTTCAATGGTCCATTCAAAACCCAATGGTGATACGATGCTATTTATTCATTTTATCCCTTTTGGTTTTTGCAACACAAACACATTTAGACAGGCCTAGACCAAAACAAAGTCAATCCCAAGTATGTGTCTGTCTGCCCAGATATAAATGGACAGGCCTGGACTTTGATATTGTAATGAGAAGTTATTCTCGTTAAATACAGTGTGTGGTAATGGCTAGTTGGTGTTAAAAGGAAGTGATGGTCTGTGACAGTGTTGATTCCTCAACAAAGGTTTTAGGAGGTGAGTGATTTGCGCAACGACCAAACATGATTGGCACTTTCTACAATCACATCAAAGTGGTGACTGCTGTTACTGGTTTCCTTCTACATTTCTGGACCAAACATGCAGTTTGAAGAATAGGACACAAAAAAATATAATTGATGTCAATAACGTTTATTAGAGGCACAAACACAATCACTTGATTTTTCCTCTACTGTTGGTTTACAGTAAGATCCTATTGGCTGAAGCACTTACAGTAACTAAGACTTACACCACATTCATAATAATTTATCTTTTGACTATGTTTCACTATCAATGACAGAATCAGAGTGACAGAGAGCTATAGATCATTTTCAGTGAGTGTCCACTTGTCACTGGTCTTTACATTAAGAATCTCCTCTCTCTCTGACTCCTATGTGGTCAAAGGCCAGGGTTCAACCAATCACAGCCTTCTGAACCACAGACATGAGGTCATACAGGCGAGTTGAGGAAAGGAGGAGAGAGGGAGAGAGAAGCACTAGAACATTGTAGGAACAAGATGTTTGAAAGGGATGGAAAGGAGAAAGGTGACTGTGAAGAAGAGAAGGATGTGAAAATGACAAATTAAAAGAGTGGATGTGACTTAAGAGGGAAGACAGAGGCTAAGGTTGGAGAGGACACAGGAAAGAGAGAGAACCCAGCTAGCACATTTGGTTCCATGGAAGTTGTGGGAACATACGTTTTTGGTTTCCCATTGGCTCTGGGAACAAAGCCATAATTTTCCTGACCAGTAAAACGGAATGTTGTATTAACGTTCTGAGAACAGAAATGATAAGTTATCTGAAGGCAATCAAATAACGTTCTGAGAACATGTTTCAATAAGCAAGCATTTCGCTACACCCACAATAACATCTGCTAAATATGTGACCAATAAAATTTGATTCGATTTGAATAAGACTGCTAGCTTAACTGTTTTGAACTCCAAGCACAGATAGAAATTAATTTGCTTAGGCATTAATCATGCAAAAACATGTATTTTTTATTCAAACCTATGATCTTCTGTTTTCTATCCATGGAATTAGTCCACTGCGCCACCAGGATGGAGCTAGCATGCCATGTTTTTTTAAACTCATACAAAGCTGTCCATTTTAGTCTATTCAAACAGACCCCATTTCGTGGCCACACACCTGAACACACTTAACAAGATAGAGGATAGAGAGAGTTTTGTTGATGCTGAGAATGGAATGTATATGTTTTTAAATAACATTCTCAGAACGTTCTCTGAACGTTACTAAAGTTTTCTTGTGGTTTTTATGGAAAGTTTTCTTAAAGACCCACCTCAGAGGAAGTTGCCGCACCTAATTCGAGTAATTCCTGTCCTAGAGCAGAAATTCTCGTTTAGCTTCCAGCTCAAAGGCTGCTAAAAAATATTCAGGAATTGAGGGTGGGAACTCTCTGATGATTCCCATGTGTAGCAGAGAAATAACAACAAATAGCACAATGACTGACAGCCGACAGTGTAACTAGCTAGCATGCTAATCTTAGCTAGCTAATGAAAGATATGTGACCACCATTTCAGTTAAGACAGGTGAAAATAACTATTTCAGAAAAAGACTACCAGCCTATCTGTCAAGAGACGAGTCTCAGCTAAACCGTGCCTATACGACCTGTTGACATGTTGAGGGTTAACGATTGTCTGACTCTTGCCGTTTGATAATTCCAGTGAAACCGTGTCGGATTCCAGACAGCATTAATATTTGGACATGCTCACAGACCTTATCAAATAGCTATATTCTTTGTTCTCTCTGTTATCCTTTCAGCAGGCTAGCTAGCTATGTAAATTGCGGCCACAAATCCGCCATATAAATAGAAAGAATGTAATCTCCGCTAATATGGATAGCCAAACTATTGAAGCAATGGGCTCGTTTTGCATGGCCCGCTGCCCCAGGTGGGTGAAGATTTTTGAAATGTGATTTCTACTGTTGTGGGCGTTTTAATGTTCTCAGAACAATTTGAGAACATTACTTTAAATACAACCATGAGGAAACCTGTAGGAAACGTTATGCTAAAGTACTGAAATTCTCACAGAAGAATGTTGTTTCTTAACGCTTTCTGAACTATTTAAGAACATTTCCAATGTCAAACCAGTTGGAGAACGCTCCTAGAACATCACCAAAATTCAAATGAAATGTAAATATGTTAAAACTTTTAGGAAACATTCTGTTAAAGTAATGAAATACCACAAAAATAATGTTTTTTTGTCAAGTTCCTTAAATGTGCTGAGAATGTACCAAAGCCGAGTAAATGTCCTGCACCATTCCCAGAAAGTTGTGCGATGGTTGTATGCAAATTAACCACGCTCTCACCAAGCTCTACGAAACAAATGGTTCTAAGAATGTTATGTGCTAGCTGGGAAAGTCCTATCCATGTTTAGCCAGGGGCACTATTTTCTCTCACACACTGCCTTTTGCTAACCTAAACCTGGCCTCAAAGTTTTATGAAAGCATGCTTTTAAACTCACTGCATGATCTTATCAAGCAGCTCTACCCTGCTAAGCAGCCTGGTCTCATAGACTAGATGTAATATAGTAAATGTAAATCCGGGATGGTCAAATTAGTATGATATGTTACGTTTTGTATGGTTACATAAGACAGATGGTTACTTAAGGCAAAAACAAAAGTAGGGTGGGTGGGCGTATAAAGCGAAAGTCTAGCAACACAAAGTTTGCGAGTTCGAATTTAATTACAGACAACTTTAGCATTTTAGCTAATTAACAACTTTTCAACTACATACTACTTTTTAGATACTTTGCAACTACTTAGCATGTTAGCTAACCCTTCCCCTAACCTTGACCATTTTAGCTAACCCTTCTCTTAACTCTAACCTTAACCCTTTTAGCTAACCCTTCCCATAACCCTAACCCTTTAACCAAATTTGTAACATATACTACGAATTGTAATTCGTAACATATCATACGAAATGGATGATGGACATCCACAAATTATTACATACCATACAAAACCTAACATATCATACTGAATGGAGTGTCTCGGAGTTACATACAGAATAATACCAAATGCTCTGAGACCAGGTTGCGCTAAGCACTGCCTAAGCTTCTTCACCCTCACCCACCTCCATTTGTTATCACTTCTAATCTCCCTCTTCCTCTCTATGTTCCCCACAGCCCCTCTCTCTTCCTTCATCTCTCCCCCACATTTTCCTTCACCCTTTTTCACTTCCCTCCCTGGCTTTCCGTCTCCCTTCCCCACTCCCCCTTCTCTCTTCCCCATCCCCCTTTAATTTACTTGTTTGCTGTACCTCCTCTCTATCTCTCCCCTCCTACTTCTCTCATTCCTTCCCCTCTTCATGCTCCCTCTCTCTCCGCCATTTCCCTCTCACATCCGTCTCCCTCCCCCTCTCTCTCTCTCCCCATCTTCCCCTCCTCGCTTCTTCCCCTGTATGATTTACTCAGTCTGCTTGGAGGCACTCATTACCCACCTCACATTGGTTCATCTTAGCCATAAAAGGCAGAAACTGAACAAGAGCAGTATAGAGGACAGCACTTAAGGCCGGAGACAACAACCTCTCCACCATTCTTTCACTTTTCCATCCCTCCACCCCCCACCAACTCCTCCTTTTGTTTTGTCTTTCACTCTCATCCCTCCGTCCACAGTTAATGTTACGTTAACCCTTCCTATGTTCCCTTGCTATATGCTCTCTCCCTCTATCCCTTGCTCTCTCTCTTTTCTGCTGTCTTTCTTTTTATCCCAGGCTCATCCATCATCTGCTGTTGCCGGCGGTAACTGGCTGTCGGGTAATTATCTCATATTTATGCAAATATTCTTGTCCCATATTGGTTCCCTAAACCCATCTAAAGCCTGTTCTCAGGGGTTGATGTCATAATTCAACCCAGAGTAAGAATTATGGATGGCCCACAGGCACAGCAGCTGTACTTGATGTTCTCATCTTTGAGAGTAGTAATGTTCAATGAAGTGTCAAGAAGAGAGTGTGTTGAATGTGCTAATTGAGGATCTTTGGCTACTGAGCAGTTGCTAACCTAACACAGAGGTCATGGTTAGACCTATATATTGAGCTGTTTCCCCAAATGGTGAGTTGGAACGTACAGGTTGTGACAAAAAACCTTGTCTGACAAAGTTCTAAGAACCACTGTTCTGTATTATCCTCTGCTGCTTCCCAGTGGTCACAATGGTCACAGCAGGCACATATCTCTCCTCTGTGTACTGTGCAGTATACTAGATGCTGTATGGTCTACTCATTTCTCCACCTGTGTGTAGTTTACAGTTAATAGGAAATTTGACTTATGTTTTTTCATGATGGAATCAAGGGATGAGAGTTTAGCGAGGTATCGTGCGACTCCTGCTACTCTCTGACAACTCAGAGCCTCTCCACATAATGGAAATTAAGACCACATTTTGTGTGTGTGTGTGTGTGTGTGTGTGTGTGTGTGCGTGTGTGTGCACGCTCATTGCTGATTGCTGTCTGGACCTTATTAAGTAGAAAACAGATTGAATAATGATAATGAGGTCTAATAGGAAGGAATTTCCCTGACTTTG